GGTGGCAGGAACAAAGTAGACAAGCAAAGAGAGAAAAGAATACCTTGAGAAAAAAAGGCAGACCATCATGATCTAAGTGCTGATTAAATCTGCTCCTGAACATATGAATATGACCATAAGGCACAAGTCCAGTCTAGTACAGAAAGCATATTCCCCCTTTGATCATTCTCTGGTGTGGATGGAAACCCACTGGGGCTTGAAGAGATATCAAGTCTTTGAGAGATGAATATCTAACGAAGCATACGGAGGGTGAATGGAAGTAAAAGTAAGTTTCCACCCCTTCTACTGGGGCCCAGGACTATCACTTCCATTTAATGAAGTCAGAGTGCTCAGATTTCAGTCAGCTCTCTCTGCTTTCTCTTTCCCAGTCAACAGTCTCTTCTTTCCTAGACATCAGGCTCTTCTTTCCTTTTAGAAAGGTCTCCATGACTCCCTCTCCCCATAGTGAAAACAGGACAAGAGAGGTACCAAGTACCACAGTTTACATGCAGTTCTTCATGCCAAGGCAGTACAGCACAGGGCTGTCCAAATTCATGGCAGGAACAGAAGGGCTGTATGGTCTTTCATTTACCATTGACACTGCCATGTGAGTCTTTTCTCCCTTGCAGTCTCACAGATCCCAGCAGAGCCCTGAGGAAGAGTGACCTTGCAGCAACAACCAACCATACAATATGAGGAAGAATTTGGAACTAGGCAGCTCCCAAACCAAAGGCTGCCGTAGGTTTGAGTGGAGAAGTCTGGAAACTGCTCATCTAGAATCTCTACAGGGAAAGCGTAAGGACACTCAAGGATCACCCTGTAGAGCCCCTCTGAAACCTCAAAGGTAACCAGACCTGCACATGAACCCAGAAAAACTATGCAAAAATTCAGCTTCCACCAGCAGCAGTATCCTGAACAATAGCAGAGCCTCTTTGCTATGACTGGACAAAAAAATAAATGAAAGGGAAGATAGGACATTTTACAGTCTGCTCAGTCTCTTGAAAAATGAAAACAAAGAGGTTTTTTTTGGTTGGTTGGTTTTTGTTTGTTTTGTTTTTTTGTTTAAGTCCTTGGTTAGAAGTTATGGGAGTAAACAACAACTCCTAGCTTTCCTTCCATATTTAGGCTGAGACTTTTTCAGTATTTCCAGTGTTGCGAAACAGAACACAGAAGAAAGCAAATCTACTTCGACTACACAGAAATGCCAAACAGAAAAAAATAAGCCACAGAAGTTTGTATAAATACATGCACATCCCTAAAAACAGATGCACCTATCAAAGCATTGTTTAAAGTTTGTCTGTCTAACTGAACTCTCTGTACTTGCTGTTAAGAACAATTTTACTCAAAATAATAACCAGGATTCAAACCAAGTAAGAAATAATGAACTTGGGTTTAATTGGTTTGCGAGAAACCCAATTTACAAATGCAACCCTTAGCCAGCTATTGAATATACAAGTTGACTGAGCCCAGAAGGCACTGTGATGAGTGGCTTAAGTGGAGGCACCCTACACCCACCAACATTCCTGCTGAATGAATGTGAAATCGGCAAGAATTGCTTTTATTTATCTTACTAAAAGCGTTTCTTGGAAGGGCTGGAAAAATTTATTTCAGATGGATTTTTCAGCTGAGAACAAAGTTGTATTTATTATAATTATGCACTCTCCAGTGTGGCCTGCCTTGCTGAGAAAGAACATTAAATTCAGCTGTGCACGAACTCACGGAAGTGACCTTTTGAATGAAAATGCTACAGCAAGAAACTTGTGGAGCATTCTCACTAAATAATAACCTACTGTCTGCAACTTGCAGATTAGTGCTCAGACCACTGATCTCAGCTGTTACTTACACAGGCACAAGTCTACATGAGGTCAATCAGCTGAGAATAAATCATGTGTGCTGCAGAATACAATATGGAGAACTGTACTTGGGAAACTTCATAGTCTCCAGTCCAGCATGAATGAACCATCATTCAGCAGCATAACATTGCAAGGCATTTTAAAGAGATCTTTTCTGCAGGACACCCAGTATTCATTTACATAAGAGGATCAAAGGTGTTATTGACACAAACTGAGTAAGCTCTCACTTTAAAGAGAGCAACAAATGCAAGGAAGAACACCCACCACCCACCCAGAAATACCCTGCTCTCTCTTTGCAGAAGGGCATGAGGATTATCTGAAAGGCTTCTGCTCCATGGAAAGCCCAAACCCTTGGGGAGAAGACAGGTTAGCACTAAAGAACTAGAAAAGTCAAACTAGAAGGTTCATTCCATCACCTAAATGAAAGGTGAAATGTAAAATAGCAAAAAATCTAAAAGAGTAAAAATGTAGAACAGTAAAATGCTTGTTTGGAAATAAAGGATGTCTTCTCAGTGTGCAAATATAAAATATCCTCCATAGACACATCAGATGATCTTACTCATTGCAGAAAGGTTGGGTATCTCATCCTGTAAGGAACTTAAAACAGATGTCTGAGCCTTCCCAGCAGCTGGGTTGCTGGGCAGTCAAACTCCCCGGTGCCAAAGAAAGCAAGGCAAGCTCGTGTGCTGACGTCCACATCTCAGGGGCAATTGGAAGTCACTCGCTCTGCTGCCCAGACCAACAGCATCCCACAATGGACAAAACCTGCTGGCAACCTGCTCTGGGCTCCCTCTCCCTTTTACTCTCCCAGGTATGCACAGCAGGCTCTCGCGGTTCACGGCCATCTGAAGATTTTGGTATGCAGTTCAAAGGTTTAGAAAAGAGATTACCCTGTATTAAGCATCAAGAAGCCAAAATGCAGCTATAAAACCAGTTTGGGCGCCAGTTTGGGTTCTGCACTCCCTTTTCAGACTGTGTGTTTGCATTTCAGCCAGCTTGTTCTCCTCCCACTGCTCTGCTCACTGAACCTGCTGATTGGTCCCAAGTCTGCATCTCTGTGTGCTGTTGTCTCCAAGGGGAAATAATATACAAGAAATTTAATGTCTTGACTTTGCTACAGAACCAATTAATTGAGCTGCAAAGAAGGAAAGGCTTTCACTTGAAGTAATTGTTTTCTGTGCAGTAAACACAGCACATGTAATTTGTGAGGGGCACAAAAGCTTGATCCTCCTGTGTCTTCACATGTTGATTATTTACACTAATGCTTTCCAGACAAATAGAAGAATAGTCTCCACTCAAGTACAGAAGAAGCCAAGAACAATAAAACAATTAGGTAAAGTTTGACCATAGTACTTGAGGGCATTGAAAACCTTTGGACCAAAACCTTGCAGAAGAAAACCAGGCATTTCTTGGTTAACAATTAATAATTTAGCCCTGAATTCTCTCATTCAGACATCCAGCTGAAGAGGAAAATTACACAGTAATTATACACCTTGTACCACACAATCCCCCAGTATTTTGATACAAAAACCCACAGTTCACATTCACCATTTTCATATCCCCATTTTAGATGAGAAATGTGAAATTCCTTTCTTAATATCATGTGTTAAGCCAGGATCACAACTGAAGAGTTCTTGTAAAAAGTACTTGTGTGTCAAAGGAAGGACTTGGGAGTACACTGTGGCTTTCAAAAAAAATTTTTAATAATATTTATAAATTCACCCTAAAAAATCCCAACAACAGCTAAACCCAAGAAATTTCTTTTGAAAACTATTTCTCCATTGTTTATCTTTGCACTAATCCCTTGGGTTAAGTAAACTACCAAGACACTTCACCCCCAAGAGCCCTCACCACTGTAGCATATGCAAGATGCCTGCTGCAAGGATAGGGCAAGACAGAAGCAGTGCAAGACCTGTAAATGAACATGTTAATGGGTTGAACCAGATGAAAGAAGTATTTCTAAAGCCTGTTTCTCTAATTAGGGACACTAGTTAAAAGCATAAACAAGTTTTACCTTTCACCCTGTCCTGAAGGAAAGTGCCTTCAGAAGAACTGTTGGCAGGCAGGCAGTGCCTGTGTGAGAGAAGAGCTAGTGAGAGTAAGCGTTCTCAGAGCAAGGATACAAATAAACAAAAAAATTAACTTTTTCTGTGTAATAGCTACAACAACAGCTGCAGCTCAGCCAGCCTTCAGATTACACTCCTGCAAGGTACAGTTTCATGGACACAAATGCACCTTCCATTTGTTTGGTTCCAGAAGATCAAGATGCAAGGGGCACACACCACCCAGACGGGGTGAACATCTCATCTAGTGCTGTTTTCCTCCCCTGCATACCTCTACATTCTCAAGCCAAATCCAAAATGTTCACTGCTTGCATATGCAGATTCAGGCCTCTTTTATTAGGACACACCAAATGTATTTAATCCTTTGACTGTGCTTCTGAAGTCTTTTAGAGTAGGATCGTAGCAAGAAGAGTTTTGGGTACACACTGCTAGATAATATGACACAGACGAGAAACCATCAGTGTCACTCATTCTGTTTCCCGAAGTTTATCTGCTCTTTTAAAGGCTGTGAAAAAAGGAGATTAGGCTGAGACTCGTCCACCTAAGGAATTCAGCAAGCCCTTACATTTCATATCAGCCTGAAGTTACATGCCATCAAAGGTGAAACGAGGCAAAACCAGATTTATCTGGCCCTTAATCTAAAGTTTTCCTGGCACAATGCTTCTCAATAAATATATATCATGCTGAAAATACAGGAGGACTACTTCAGCTGGTCCATCTACAGAAAGCAGACTGCAAGTTTCAGAACAAAAAACAATTACTCCAGACCTCCTGAATTCATCTTTAGCAGGATGATCCTTGGACTTTGCAGTCAAAGGATGGGCCTAAGAGCACAAAATGTGTCTGAGGAGAAAAAAACTCCCAACTCTTGTTCCCACAGCCTAACCACTGGTTTAGGATGATCCCAGACTCTGAAAAGTAGAGATACAAGGACAGAGCAGGAAAGCAAGAAATTCAGTAAAAACAATGAGCCACAAACATGAGAGTGATATTAATAACCAAGTATGTGAGATGCAAAACTTCCCTAGTAAGATGGGTAGGAAAAAGGAGCAAAACAATGAGACAAAGAGAATACAGCTAGGGAAAGGAGAGGAAAATAACTTAAGAGCTCTTATTTTTGACAGGGTGATTTAAGACAGGCTCTGTTGGAGTCCAGGTGATAAGTGTCAGTAAATGGAGACAATCAGCAATGACAGATGTCTGCAAGCCTGTTTTATCTAAGTTCAGATCACAGGAGACTGGAGAGTCAAATGCAAGCTGTTTGTGAAGTCTGCATCTTCTAAAAAGACAGAAGTCAAAACGACAAGGTAATTTGAAGACAACACAATACAGACATACTCCTCCTCTTCAGCATTCACTGTTCGAAAAGCAGTCTGCAGACCAACAAATGAGACAACCAGTAAGAAAAGGGGGAATTCATCACACAGGAGACCCAGACATGAGTCATGACCTTCACATGCATTCAGGTAGCTTCCTTACATGCTTTCCAAGCAGAATAAAGGTCTTTCAGATAGTATCTCAAGAAAAGTCTTTCCTACCCCCACAAGAGGGGGGAGTTTGGTAATTTTACAATTACAATTGATGAGCAGGATGTGATGAAGTCAGCCCAGTGTCCTGGCCTTGAAGACACTGCCTTCTTCAAAGGTTTTGTTCAGTCTTTGCAACATCCCCATACTCTGCCCATCACCTCCTCCAGCCCTTCCCCTACCTCCTGGCTCAGTCTGACCTCAGCCACCATTTTACCCTTTCATTCCACACCAGTCACTCCCAATTCTTGTTTAGCTCAGCTCTAAAAGGTGCTTTTACAGCAGGCTCCGTGGGACGGATTTTCTGCCCACAATCAGTGGGATGGCTGTCACAGTGGATAATTTATGCAACAGAATGGCCTCATCTTCTGGACAGAGAAGACATGCAGTTCCTGTTGGCAATCCTCCACCACCTGGGATTTAAAGAGGATCCCACATAGAGAAAGAGGTTTTAAAAAAAAAAAAATCAAGCAACCACTGATACATTATAAACAAATAAAAGTCTTATTACAAAGAGTGAGGAATACAGAACTTGGCAAGGGAGAGGACTTCTGCATATTTTGCACTCTTTCTGTAGCAGGACTCTCTGGTGGCTGCCACAATCACACCGCTGATTTGACTGACAGCATTATCCCAGACTGTAGTGATTATGAGTTCTGGTTCCATAATAAGTAAAAAAAAAAAAGTCTCTCGTGGACAACAGTACTTGACCTGCTGGTCATATCTGTGTGCTGGGACACAAGAGAAAAGAGTCATTCAGTTCTACTCATTAAAAACGCCTCTGCACAGTCTGTGAGTGTCTTCCCTGCTTCCAAAGGAACACTTGACACCTTTTACACAGGGAAAGCTCAGGATGGCTGGTGAGATTCCTGGAAAAACACACTCTTCATAGCTGTTTCTACAGCTTATCAAGCCTTTCTCCCCTTCAATTTACTGTTCAGACAGTGGGAGTCAAGAAGACAAACAAAAGTAGCTCTGTAACTACTGGAGCTCCATAAAGCTGACCTCCAATCAGTTCGTTCCACGAGGCTGACTGACTTTGCAGGCTCAGAAACTTTGAGCTCCAGCTGAGGCTTTGGAAGAAGCCAGGGGATGTATCAAGTCAGTCAACCGAACTTACAAATTTTCCAGGGCTAATAAGCTTGCAAATGTAGCTTCTCACTCAAGGATGAGTCCCTGTTTGTTTGCGTTTTTTTAAACTGTCTCTATGCCTACCTCTTTCCAGGAATTCTGGTGAATTCCTGGCATCTTTGAGGTCTCTTGCTATCAAATTTGGTTTAAGTTGGCCAGTAGCTTCAGAATTAATGGGGAGACAGACATTGATAACTGCATAAAGCTCACCTCCTTCTGTGAACTATCTTCTTTCATTGATAAAATCCTTTTCCTGCTCAAGTCACTCTCTGTCCCACTCCAGTATATTTAGCAAATCAGTATCTTGACAAGCTCCCTCGGCCTGAATTAGAGCCAGGATAGGGTTAGTTTTTGCTTTGACCATATTCCCTCCCAGATCTCAAAAATAAACCCCCACAAACGAACAAAACAAACAAGAAAACCCCAAACCAAAACACAAAAAACCAAACCCAAACAAAAAACAAACCCTTGAGCTGCCCCTGAAATTTCTATTACTGCTTTGCACACACCAAAACCAGAGATGACATAAAACCACATCACCACTAGAAGTAACAAACTTCCACCTCATAATAATGGAGAAGATTAAAGAAGGGAGAATCCTTTTCTTCACCGCTGGCAGATCTTTCCTTTCTCGAGGTTCATTCTTTCCTCTGCTAGTCCTAATGACTGCAGACACAATCCTAACGTCTTGATCCTCTATTAGAAAAGTCCCTGTTATCCCTGATTTTCTAAACCCAGCACCCTGCAGCTTGTCAGTCCTGGTAGCTGCTCGCCATAGCCACCTACACACCTCTGCCACCCGTTGTCAGCAAGAGGCCAGCAGCATTTTAAATGGCAAAAGCTCTGTCCCCTGATGCACTGGGGATTTCTGCCATGCTCAAACCATCACTTGATAGCAAGCCTCCCGTGCTTGGAGGGAGTGGTTGAATTTGGTTTAAAATATGCTGGCATTAAAGTGCTTGTGAAGAAGGAACAGTCAGAAAACTGCATCTAAATCTCCTACACAACCCAGTTCTCACATCCTTTTCTTTGGATCAGCCTCGGGCAATGCCAGGTGGATGGAGACTGGCTCAGCAAAGAAGGCCTGCAGACCAGCAGCACCACAAGCTGCCTCCACACAAAATAAAGTCTCTCCTTTCTATTTGCAGGTGTTGTTCAGGGCACAGCATTGGCCACACTGGCACTAAATGGTTTGGCCTGCTGTCTCAGCCTGCCAGCATCACCTCACTTTGCACCCAGCAAGCCCCGGCATGGAAAGTGCTCTGTTACAGTTTCACAAGCCATTGCAGAGACCACAGCCATCATCTAAAAATAATACTGGGGGCAGTGATCTCACTGATAATCACATCATTAGAGGAGAATCAAATTCCTCCTTGTCCAAGCAGATAAACAGCAGGTCTCTGCAGCACCTTGAGCCTTCCTTTGCAGTCAAATAGTATCTGCAAAATCACAGAAAAAGCTTCATTTGTGACTGCCATACCAACATGCTTCTTGTAACAGGCAAGGTAAGGGCATGCAATTCCTGCTTAGCAAGCCTGTTCTCTCCAGCCAGTTGTTATTTCAGGCATGTTTATTATGTGCACTGTTCACAGGCTCAGCCTCACAGAGCTCCATTGCCACAGGTTTTGGCATCTCAAAACCTCTCTTCTTAGCTGTGGGCTTTCTAACCACATAAGACAGCAGGGGGAGGGAGGGACCCAACTTCCCTGTCAGCATCTCTCCATGAACTCATACAGGAGTACCATCCCTCCCCTGTGCTCACTTTCTTCTGACTCGGAAGCACAGACCAAAATCTGGCACAATCAAGTTGTCCTGTAATGTGCAATGAGTATCTCTGCCCTGCCATGACTAATGGCCCTCCTGAGATTGTCACCAGCCCTGCCCTAGAGACATCTCTGACATGCTGAGTTCTTTCCCCCACGTTGCAAAAACAGCAGTGCAGCTTGCCAGGTTATCCTGGATTCATGAACCCCCCTCAAACAAATGCAAGACAGGAGTGTGTAGAGCCACAAAGTCACTGGTTAAATGCATTAATAAGCTGAGAAGGTTCCTATGCAGCTAACCAGAAAGGGCAAATTCTTACCCTGTACCCTGTAAAATAGAGCAGCTCAGCTCAGAGGAACATCCCCAAATCCAGCACCAAATACACGCGTTGTCAGGAGACAGAACAAAAGGCCATGTGCAGCTCGGCATTACTGAAACTGCAGGACGTGCCTGACAAGGAGACATTTGTATAGGCACAGCCACAACCACGGGGCACATCAGAGACAACACTGAATGGAGAAGTAGGCCAGAGGATCACCAGCCCAATAATAGCTTTTTGCCACAAGCTAATGTCTGTTCAATCATGCCAATCCTCCCAATATGACTTAAGGGGGGAAAAAAAGCAAAAAGAAAAGGTAGGCGGTTTGCATTTACTAAATATATCACCCATTACCTCAGAGGATGGCCATATGTTTTCAGATTATAAAGAAATACAAACTATTACCGACATTAATGCCTTTCTAATACCACAGAAAGACAAAGGTGAACTTCAGCACAACCCTGGGTTAATACAGGCTGACAGAGCCATATAAAAGAGCACAGTTTCCACTTTTGCCTGCAGAAAAGCAACTGCTGAAGATGCTTAGAGGAGCAGCACCTTTAGGAATCAAAGAGAGGGTTCAATGGCTGTTTGAGCCAGGGTTGAGTAATTGCTGTTGAAATGTGGCCAAACACCGAGCTCATCCATTCCTCTGCCTCACTAGAGGAACTGATGGCAGGATCACCACTTTGGGCAGGATCCCTACTGCCCAGCAGCACTGCACATGGCAGAGCCACTGCTCAGGGATGCTCCCACCAGCCAGATGAGGCTGACCTGGCTCAACAGGCTGGGAGGATGGAAAAATCCCCAACCACAACGAAACAACGCTGGCAGATGAAACTTTCCAAGTTCCCTTCCAGCACAGCACGACTCTGCAACAGCTGCCCAAGTTTATTCTTAAAGAGGTGTTATGTTTTTGCTAACTAATATTTGCAGGGTGGTAGGGAAATCCTCAGAAAGGCAATGACAGGTCCCAGTCACAGAGCTGCCTTGACTCTGCTGAAGAAAACTGCCACACTCCTCCCCAGGATTCACTGGACATTTTCAGACCAGGCTTTCATCTGCTGCCCAGCTGCAGAGATGCAAGGAGCATTGTGTGTAATTGTGAGGGCAACTCACAAACAAAATTTAATCATTGGGAAGGTGTGCTGTACAGATGAGACACTGGAGCTCACGGTGGTATAATCATCACAGAGCGAGCAGTCCTTAATCCAGCCTGCACAGTTATTTAGAGGTTCCTGTTCTGAGCAAGTACACCACGTACTTTGATCTCTGCTGCCTCCTGCCAAAACTGTGGAAATTAGCAACCAAGAGTCACAAAGATATCATGGCAGACAAAACAGATACTATGGTTATATAAGCAGCTCTCCTCCTGGAGGATCCTGGTGCACTTCAGGAGAGACTGAAGGGCAGTTATAACTAATTACCTTTACCTTAATCAAAAAAGTTGCCTTAAATTTAGAGATGAGGAGCCTCTGTTCCGTGTGAGTAATTGAAACTTTGCTGTTCAGTTCACAAACTACCTGAAGTGATGCTCTGAAAGGGCCTGAATCCTGCCAACCCATTGTATGAAGTGTAGTAACTCTGATTGGTGCAATCAGAGCTGTGGTCACAGCCTTGGACAGAAACTCTGTGTTACAGGGGTGTTAGCCACAGTGACAGTCATGCTCAGTTCTTCCTTAAAGCAAGGATCTTTGTCACGTATGATGAATCATGCCTCAAGTCACAGCACTTCAAGCAAACTCTTTAATTTGGGATGAAATCGGTCTTTACGAGCATGCTTCTGCCAGATTTTGGCTCAAAACCACCTTAGTAGAGAAAGACGGATTCCACAGACTTTGTCACATAGTTAACATTCACTTAAATCTCTTGTTTTTAAAGAAAACAAAAGTTGAGAAAACTATGTGATAATTAAGCTGCAGGCATGGGAAGCAGACAGATAGTTGAGGCAGTCAAATAACCTTTATTCTGCCCTGTAGAGGCAAACTATAATAGAAAAATGATTAATGTTTGAGGCTTTTCATTACAAATTTGATCCAGTTCATTTTAAAATGTATTAAGTTCTTATTTCCTTTTCCCTCAAACCAGAGGGGAACAACCAGCTAAGGTGTGCTGCTAAGGCTATACTTCTATGGCTAGATAAAACTGAGCATGGCTAGATTTCTTCTTCCTGTGACACTTCTCCTGATTTTATTATATAACTGCAATATTCTGCTTGTAATCTACTGAGAAACTCCAGTTAACTGAGCTTTGTGCTCGTAATTACAAATGAAAGTACAGTGAATAGTCACGTAGACAGATAACTTGGTTTCAAGACAGTGATGAGCTAAGTATCACCTTTCTCCTCCATCTACCTTAGTCAAAAGAAAGATCTTTGATGATCCTGGGCAGCCTGGACTTATTTTAACCTGAAAAGTCAGACTCTTCTGCAGAGCACAGTGTGTTCTCGGGAATGTTTGTTCAGTGCAGCTAGGCAGTACAGCTCCACCTCCCGAATTATTTAGAGGACACATTTCCTGCAGCACCTCCCAGCCTTAGACCACCAAGTCTGTGGGACAGTTCTTCCAGGTGAGGAGGGACAGACCCTGAACAGGAAGCAGAGGCTTCCCTGGAAAGCAGAAGCAAGCAGAGCATAGCAGATGTCTGCAAGGTAGATAGAAGTAGACAGCAGTCACCAGAGGCAGGAAGGGCAACAACACTGGAGAGGACAAGAGGCAAATGTTGTCAGGGTTTCAGTAGAAATATGGGAACTCCTGGTGCAGAGATCTTTCAAGTCCAACACTGTCCCTCTGCAGGGCTTCTCTACAAACCCATCAGCTCTGAGGAAATCCGGCTCTAAGGCAACACCAAAGCAGATGAAGTTTTGTTACATGCTTAGTTTCAAGATCCTATATTACCACTTTTGTTTTTGAGTGAGCAGCTGTCAAACTCTATGAAGTGAGATAATACCAGTCTTTTGACAGAGTCTACATTTAAGATCTAAAATAAACTGAGAGTTTTATATAGACAAACTGTGGAAAGGAAATAAGTAAAGGATGCATCCGTATCCAAGTGCTCTTAAAGAAAACGTAGGCAGCCAAAGCTCTTCTCTCCCACACTCATGTATTATACCACTCAAGACTTATTATTTTAGGATTATTTCCGGTGCACTGACTGGAGAGGATATCCACAAGTCACATATGCAACTACTCCACAAGCAACCAAGCTGTACGATTGCTTCCACACCCTTCTCCTTTTCCTTTCCTCCTTTTCTACTTCCTATTCCTTTGACTGATGTAGAAGCTGTGTGAGGCAGGGAGCATCTTGCACAGTCTTCAGAGCAGGTATGGCATTTTTATTAGCACACGTAGGGTTGAAGACATTCACAGCTTCCATACAGATAATCCCACCACCTGACCACTGCTCACAGCTGGAATGCCACAAGAACCAGAGAGCAAAACGGACCCAAGATGTACCTTTAGTTTATGTGCCTCAGCCTGAAGATGAAACGGAGCAAGCACCAGGACCTCCATCTGTTAAAGGCAGTTGAGACAGCATGGAAAACACACAGTTCAACACAATCCTGCACCTGGCTCACTAGGGAAGCTACAGCCAAGCCTTACCACAATATGCCTGAAGGGGATTTGGGATGGCACTACCAACAGGGAATTACACAGCTCTCAGCATCTTGAAAAGAAGAAAATTCAAGAGGGAGATAACATCTGTAGTCATGGAGGAACTCCTCACCTCCTCCTCCTGCAGAAGTATTGGGAAGTATTTCAGTGGACTCCTTCCAGAAAGACACTGTCTGTCTGCACCCCTGTGACATTAAGCACAATGCACCCCACGGCATCTGTGACCTTCAACAAATGCAAACTGCAGTTTTTATCTTACACAGAATACACCACGTCAAACCAGAAGTCATCATATTCCATCTACGTTCTACATGGGGTGAAAAAGACATATTGCCTCTACAAATGAGAAGATCCAGGTTGTGCACAGGTTGCTAGGCCCAGTGCAGTCCTCTCCGAGTGTCACCGAGCACACAACAAAGCGGGAGAAGTTTACAGGCGCCTACAGTGCTGGACTCAAGACCGTCACTGGAGATCTCAACAGCACCAACATTGCCGCATAGACAGGAAACAGAGTAAAGAGATGAAAAAGACAGAATCAACTTCATTAAAACCCTTTCCAGGCATAATGAAGGCAGTAAGCAGGTGGTCAGAGACTACCAAGACAAGGCCTAGTTGCCCTCATCCCAGCTGAAACATGATCCCTCTTCCTTCCCCCTGCCCACAGGAGGTTTGCACGGAATCTCCTCTGCTGTTCCTGGCACGGGAAGACCAGCTCACCTGTCTTGGGCAGCACCGCTCAAGTCCCACTTCCCTGCTGACCCAGGTCCTCTGGCCAGCTGCCCCACTGCCACCCTGCAGCTCACCCCACACCACCTTCAGCACTGCCCCCTCACAGGTCACCTTGTTCCCTGTCACTACCCCCAAAAGTCACCTGCACCTCCACCCGCAGGCCCGCGCCAGCTCCAGCCTCCTGCCCTCACTACAGACACGTTTCCCACGGGCTCCAGTCAAACACCTTTCTCCCTCGTCCTGCAGCCACCCTGCCGCACAAAGCCCTTCCGAGCGGCACTGCCACCCGCTCCTGGAGCCCTGCAGCCGCTCTCCGTCCCCACGGCACACAGGGAACCCCGAACTCTGGGCTCTGCATCTCCTACAGCTTCACTTAAGCCACGGCGCTCCCCAAACCTCAGGCGGGACCCCAAAAGCCTCTTCCCCCAGGCACCCCCTGTCAGCCCCGCCGGACCCGCTGTCCCAAGGGCGGCGCAGCCCCCACGTCATCCAGGCCGCCCCGTCCCAGGGACGCAGCCCCCGCCACGACGCGAACCCAGAGCCCCCGGGCGGCCCCCTCCCTACCTGGGCGGGCTCACGCCGGCGGGCAGCCCCTCAGGCAGGGGCTGGAGCAGCAGCAGGCCATGGCGGCGCGGAGCCTCCTCGCCATCCCCCCCACCCCCCGCTCCCGCCTGGCCGGCCCGACTGCGGCCCGGGACGGGAGCCGAGGGGCACCGCGCCCGGGCCGCCCCCGCCGGCACGCCTATTGGGCGGTGGCACGCCGCTCGGCTCACTATTGGCTCAGGGCGCTGTCGCTTAGGGCAAACCGTGTGGGGCGGGGTCTGCGCACTGGGAGCTGCCATCTTGAGTGTGGCGCGGCGGGAAGGAGCCTGGGGTGGGATTCGGCCGCCATGTTTTGAGTGGCGGAACTGGCTGGAAAGGGGTGCGGGGGTGCGCCCCCTGCAGTGGAACCTCGGGAGCAGAGCTGGGCACTGCGGAGGGGGGGGGCATTGGCATCCTCTGGCTGCCACAGCCTCCCTGACACCTCGGCGGCAGCCAGGCACTCATCCTCCATTCTCCTGGTCACTCCTGGTTACCATGATCCCAGCTCAGCCTCCTCCCACATTGTCCCCAATCCCAACAGCTCGCCCGGTCCTGGGGCATGGAGAGGGTGCTGGGATGGCTGCATCAACATGATGCTTGACTCGAGTTGTCCGGTGGGCAGCTTTGTGTTGGTGCCAGCCCCACTGGGAGACAGGATCAGCATGGAGAGGAGGATCTCCCACTGCGGCTGGATCCCAGAGTTTCTCCATATGGCGATCCCTTGCACTCCCAGGAGGAGTAGGGGCACCGGCAATCGGGATTAATTCACAGCTCCGAGGAGACAGCCAGTGTTTCTGGGGCAGTGTCAGAGGGTTTCCACACTGCCACTCCCAGTGTGCCAGGCAGCCTCTGTGCCAGATTGGCATGACAAGGTTTATAAGATGTTCAGATAACATGTTAAGAAAAGCCAGAAAAAAACCCCTGACTTAGCAGTTTATCTCCTGCCATGGCATTTTTTTATCAGGCCAGCACTCAGGCACACCTAGGCCGGCCCGATCAGCTCAGCCGCCTGCCCTGGCATGGACGTTCACCCACTGCACATCGACCCAGCTCCCTCCTCATTCCATGGCAATTGGTTCCCCAGACTCCACCGGCCTTTGGAGCCGTCAGCCAAGCCTTTCTGCTGGGACTGCTGGTGCCTCAGGGAGCCCACCAGCCCCCCATACCTGTACTCAGGCTCTGCTGCAGACCAACATGACATCTTTGGTGCGGTTGCCATTTGAAGGGAGGTTGTAAACATGCTGGAGCACTGACATTTCGGTCACAAACAGTTACTGAAGAAGCTTAATTCCTGTTCCCAGGTAGCCCTGAAATTAGAGGCACAGCAGGGAGATGGGCAGCAAGTTCGCCAGAGCACAGGACAAGCCCAGATCAGGTGTGACTCATTGCTAGAGAGCAATTAACACTTGCTGTTCTTCACAAGCGGGAGTGAGTCTGGCTCTGACTCCTGGCAATGAGGTTTCCTTTTCTGTTGTGATGAGAAATGGAGGCAAGGCTGGCCAGAACATGGGGACTTGCTGGCCACAGCTTGGCACTCTGCTCCCCAGTGACACCAAAGCAGGCTGGGGAGTTACTGTGGTTTTGGGGAGAGCTGAGAAGCACAGGCTGCAGCAACCATCTCCAGAGTGATGTGAGCTGTTGAGATGACTTGAAACCTTCCAGGGAGACTCGAGCTACAACCTACAAACCTAGAAACCCCACTGAGCTAAACTGTCAGCTGGCATAAATCCATGTCGATTTGAAAAGGGAATCCACTGCCGTAAGCTCGGGGTGGGGGGAAGGTTTGTCTAAAGGATCGTTTGACAATTCTCTGAGCCCAGAGCAGCCCTTTTCCTCTGCCCATGAGCAATAAACTGCACCATGCCCCACTCCCCAGGGCAGGGGGAGAGCTGATGCAAGATGGCAATAGCTCTTCAGAGGGTCTCTGTGCTCCATTGCCCCTCCAGTATGGCTGGGGACAGGAATAAAGGAGTGGCAAAACAGCTGAGGCTTTGCCACCATGGTCCCAGCCTTGGCTTCATGTGGCTGCTGCCCCGGCATTGCTGGCTGCAGAGCCCTCTGCCCTGCTGGGACCCCCCTAAACTGCCAAAGCAGGAAGGGTCAACAGCAAGAGCATGGCTGTGATGTACAGGGGAAGGGCAGTTTTAGGATGCTGCAGCACATTGTTTTACAAGCATTGCTGTGCACCCAAGCATGCCAGAGGCACCTTGGACCCAAACACAGCCCAGGCAGCTAGAGGTACCTTTCTGAAAGTCCTCAAAGCTGTTTTGGGTGTAGGAGGAGAGCAGCTTGAGTTAAGGAGCTTAAGGAAAGCAGAGAGTGGAGATGTCTCCTTGTAGCTTCTCCCCACGCCCAACAGGAGTGACATCTGTTTCACTTCATGTGCTTATCTGTTATTTTAATTGCACTTTAACAAGAGATCTAATAATGCCAAGGGAACAGATACACAAGTTTGAACATGTTTTCCTACTTTCTACTGGCCTATTAATTATTTCAGAGCTCTTTTACAGCTTTCTAGCTGTAGCTACATGTGGTTGGAGACATTGTCCTCTCCCTGTTGCAGCTTGGGCAGAAGCAAACCTGTTGTGGATACAGCTTGGCCCTTCGAGAAGTACCTTTAAGGTTTGTCTGCTCTCTCTGTAGGAGCAGAGTGGTTAATGTGTCTCTACTCAGGCACGTAGCTGATGTGAGAATCCCTGGGGGATCTGGTATATATCCCTGGCTGGAGAGAGGAGCGTGGACCTTCTGCTGGGCCAAGGGGCTCTGGGAACAGCCATGTCATATGGCTTGTTAGAAACACGCTTGTCCCACCAAGGGATGTTCATCAGCAAGCAGAGAGCCTGGGTGCAGCTGATTAAAAGCAAGGGCTTTAGCCCAGGACTTGGGCTCCTTCCTCCTCCAAAAATAGGCTGCATCAAACTCAAGCTGCTCTTCTTCAGGGTGGGAGAGGCCTCATGGCAGACCCAAGTTAGCATCATGCAAACTCTGCCGGGCCAAGAAGATAAACAGCACCATGGGTGTAGGAAGGGTCACCCAGTGTCATCCCCCCAGTTCCCACAATGGGATAAGTGTCACCATGAACACAGCACTATTGCCTTTTATCACTTCTCTTGGGACTGTTTGCAGCCCCAAGAACCATTTGAGGAATGCTGCATTGGATGCCCAAAGATTTCAGAATTCATGCCAACCCTTACACTCTTCTTCCTTCTCCTGGCCCCTGTGCTGACCCTCACCCTGGTGCCTGGTCAGTCACAAAGCCCACACCTTTCCCTTTCAAGGCAAGCATGAGACCCACATACCAACCCAGCCCAGCCCAGGGAACCAGACACAAAGAGACTAGTCAGGAGCAGACCCCACAACTGTTTTTTAAAAATCATTGCATTTATTTTTCAACTTTCCTCTGTTGTTTGAAGTGCTGGTATTCAGAGCCCAAGTTAATACAGCTCTGTGACAAGAAAGACAAGTAGCTACTGGAGAGGGTCCAGCAGAGGCCACGAAGATGATGAGGGGTCTGGGGCATCTCTCCTGTGAGGAGAGACTGTGTGAGCTGGGCCTGTCTGGGGAAGACTGAGAGAGGATCTCATCAATGCATATATATATTGCAAAGGCAGGTGCCATGAGGATGGTGCCAGGCTCTTTTCAGTGGTGCCCAGCGACAGGACAAGGAGTAATGGCCATGAACTAAACGACAAGAAGTTCCACTTCAACATGAGGAAGAACTTCTGTGCACTGAGGGTGGTAGAGCACTGGAATAGGCTGTCCAGGCAGGTTGTAGAGTCTCCCTCTCTGGAGATATTCAAAACCCACCTGGATGCCTTCCTGTGTCACCTGCTATAGGTGACCCTGCCTTGGCACTAGATCATCTGCCTAGGCAGACTAGATGATCTTCAGAGGGTCCCTAACAATTGTGTGATTTTGTGACACCTGTGTCTTCTTCCCCCATCTAAGGGGGCATAGAGACAGCTGTGCCCCAAAGCTGCAGGTCCATGGTCCTACTTTGGGGACAGTGAGATGTGGGACAAGGGTGACAGCTGGCTTTTGCGATCAGAGGAATGAAAAAATTAGAGCTTAAAAACCATTAGCTATTTCTTTCCTGGATTGCAAAGTGAATAAAACCTGAACCTGAGAGCAAGGAAGGCATAGTCCAAGCACTGGCCTCTGGACTTCGGGATACTCCCTGTGCAGAGGGGACAGGTCCCTTCATGCCTGCCAAGGCATGATCCAGGTCTTGGTAAGAGGCTACTGTGGAGGTTTAAGGCAGGAATGTGGTTTGATTGCTGGTACAATGGCAGGACAACTGCTTTCGGAGGTAGAACTGTGCTTTGAGCTCCAAGTGAGAGAGCCTGATGCCTTGTGGGGCCAAGTCCAGTGACCACAAAAGGCTCAGACAGGCTGGGCAGATCCTCCTGCACTGGGCCAGAGGAAGGCGCAGGAAATACAGGCATTACTCAAGGCAAGAGGGATGTGGGGAAGCACAGACACAGCCAGCAGCAGATGGGGGAGGCTCAGGACAAGCCTAGGTGCTGCAAGCTGGGCACACAGAGCCAGATTCTGCTCCTCCAGTGGAAGAAGGCAGCAGAGAAGATGCTGGGCTGGGGAGCAGATCTGGCTGGACTGTGCTTCTGATCCCTGCTCAGGGGACACGGTACTGGTGGTGGCAGGGGGCCGGAGAGGTGTGATGGCTCCTGAGGTGATCTCCTTTCACAGCCCCTTGTTAAAATAGACATACGGCACTTTGTCCCCGTGCTTGGCCACAATGCTGTCACGCAGCTCCAGCTCAAGGTCAGCCAGTGCAAGGGAGCTGTGGGGAGACGGGGTAGACACTGAGACCTGTGATCCTCCTCCCCAGCCACCAGTCAAACCACCCTCCCTTCCCATTGCCATTTGAGGCCCTCTGCATTCCCCGGGATCTTGAAGGCTCATGTCAAGACCCACCACCCATCCCTGGCATCCACCACTCCGAGTGCTGGAGGGCAGAGAGCTGCCCTTAGAGCTGGGTGTCCCATTGCTCCCAGCACAGAGCTCAAAGAGCAGGGCAGGCACATGCTCTCCTGCTGCCCTGGGCACCAGCATGTACAGGAAAGCGCT